GAAATATATTCGTTCAGTTGAACGCAATGGAATACTTTTTTGTTTTGTAGTATGTGCGAAGATTAGCTAATATCCTTGTGGGTATAGAAAAAATCATATCCATGTGGGTGTAGAAAATAGTAGTTTGTGTAACAAAAGTGAATATAAATTAAATGGATTTCATGTAGTTTTATTAAAATTTATAATTATTTATTTCTAAATATAAATCAAATAAAAATAGAAATGCTATTATTTATAGATTCTACACAAGTATAACTCATTTTACTCAATAGCATATTTTTTCGTTTTGTAGTCTGTACGTAGGTAAACTAATATCCATTTAGTTGTAGAAAAATTATTTTCTAGTACTAAAAATAAATAAAAATAACATTGAGTAAGATGATTTATTATTAGTAAAAGAAGAAATAAAAATAATCATTTTTATTGACTATTGGTCGGATTTCTACTCGGTTTTCTACTCGGATTTCTATTCGGTTTTCTACTCGGATTTCTACTGGGATTTCTAATATCTAAACCTCTAGTGAAACGTGGATCTAAGATCTCGGGTAGTATACAATCTAAATAAAATTGCTTTAGTTTGCTTTCCATATACACCAAAATCTACCATCTTTTTTTATTTTTTCTACTAACATACCTAAAGGTATCAAAATAATAAAGAAACAAATATTTCGTTTAGTTACGTAAAGTTTGCCCCTGAACCTGGTAATATTAACAATTATGATTTCGGTTTAATTGAATTTTGCCATTATCATTAATAATTGTAAATTTTATTATGTTGCAAACCATTGCTTTTTCCGTAGTCATTTTTGAAGCAGGATATTTAATTTCGATAATACTGTCGGTTCCTAATAAACCGTCGGGACCTAAAAAACCAAATTAGGAATCCGCAAATAAACCACATTTATTGGACATCCGCTTTAAATTTGTGAATATTGCTTAAAAAAAAGGTTCTTTTTCTATTCCATACTTAGTATAAATTTCCCATATATTTTGACTTTTATGCTTAGAAGGGCAGGAACTGAACTGGACTAGAATAAGAGGTGATAGTGTGTGTCTTTTTCTAAATATACTTGCACGATATTTTATAGATTTCCGTCGAAATGGAAATATCATTTTCGGCATTTCCGAAAGTTTTCCCATTTTTACGACAAACTATTTTAACTCAGCTTACACACAAAAGTTCATATAAACACATTAACTAAATACGAAAAGAAAACACCTACACTTGAACTAAAAAGAATAAAGTTTTTTAATAATTTCATCCCAAGCTACTTAAATGACTACCTAAATGCTTTTATCCTAATTTTCCGGTACTGCATGCACCGCCAACGTCCGCTGCCTTGTTGCCAAATCAATTAATATGGATTTGAATCGTGACAGATTTTCTCAGATTTCGTAATTCAAGGTTTTCAAAAAATATACGCTTTGGACAAAAAAGTGTATTGGAAAGAATTAGCTGATTTTTATAGAACAATTCCCGGTAAAGACTCCATTTTGCAATAATTTTCATAATTTGTATAGAAATAATTAAAAAATAAGTTTTTCTGAATTCGGGCTCTACAGCGGGGTTCTCTATCATTTGCTTAGTAGGTATACCAAAGTTTATAAAAAAATATTTAATACTGAGAAAGAGAACCTTGAAGTCCTTTTAAGCCAGTTTCTAACCATGGATATCGCTCTGGAGCCACTGTAGGATAGTAGCGGCAGCTAGATTTCAGTCTCTAAAATTAAGCGATTTATTGTCTTAAGAAATAACTTCCGGTTCCGTTGTGATTATTTAAAGATGACGAAAGTAAGCGAAAAACAGCTAATTCTGATTTAGTATCAAAATTTGAACCATATGGAGCAGTTGCTTGCACCTCAAATGGTGAATTTACTTATACTAGATGACATGGTTTTTATTCAAGGGCTTAATGAGAAAGCGTTATCCATTTAACTTGCATTTATGTTTTTTGAAGCAAATTCTGTCACTTAGCCGAGTGGTTTTTGATAAATATTATGAATCGGTCAAGTGCTTGGAAAGACACAGAAGAGGTGATGCATACACATATTAGAGCATACTGGCGCATTCTTTTGCAAAATTGTTTTAAACCGTAATTTTTTTTTAAAATGTCCGGAAGGCTTTCCTGATTATAAAAGTGTAAGATGACACTCGATAATTGTTAATGTTATTGTTTAAACAACGAAAAATTAATTAAGCCAGAAAAAATGCATCTTTGCAATGAATTAATTTTTTTTATATTCTTTAAGATATTTCAAATAAAAAAGTCCTTACGCCCATCATCGTATCTTCAACCCTTTAATTTTTAAAATTTTTTAAAATCCAAAATTGACGAAAATTCTAATTTTCTTGAATTAAATAATATACCTTAAAATGTAACATGCTATAATTCAAACTATAATAAACAAAATTACCTAAATAAATTTTAAAAATTTTGTTTGTTGTTGTTTTTTTACGTTATAACAATATGCTTCCTACGCGCCACGATGCCATGAAAAAGATTGTTCACTAGTATTTTCATTAAGCCAGATCAATAGATTTGTGTGTTGAATTCGACAAAAATATTTGTGGCGCAAATATTTTTTTTATTTTAATTTTGTCGCACAAATATGTGCGTTGTGTTGTGTATCTATAGCAGTCCATTGTATGCGTCGTGCGTAGAAATAATTTGTGATTAAAATAATAGTACAAACTAAACAAATATTCAAGTCCACATTAAAACAAGCACTCGAGGGTCGTTCGACGCAAATCTCTTTAAAGTTGGCAGCAAAACCGAGAGACCGGTGGATAGCGTGTGTTGTATCATTCTGGCGCAAATATTTGACGAACACGAGCAAATTTGCGTCAAATACAACGCACAACGTAAATATTTATTGATCTGGACCCGGCTTTAATTAACAATTTAAATCGCACAGTCACTTTATCGTTTCGAGGAAGAGTTGCATTTTTTTATTTTAAATATGTATCAGATTTCGGACACTTCACTAACGCCTCGCCATGATCACAAAATAAACACTTTTTGTCGTCAGATAATTTAATTTTTTTTGGAATTAAAGAGAACGAAGGTTGGAAGTTTGGAAGGTTGTAAAAATTGTTTATGACAGGAAAAAAATAGAAGAAGAGTTAAACGTACAATTTTTTTAAAATACGAAATAAGTCCCTTTACCTATTTGTATTCATAGTGAAAAAGATTGAAAGTCATAAAAAAATTCATATTTATAGTACTTACTCTCAATATTAGAAAAAACATTTTTTTTCCTTATTTTTGTTAAATGGAGAAAGGCTTGGATATTTTTGAAATCATAAAATTTTATAACCCCAGTAAGCCTACTATGTTCATTGTAACAGGTAGAAATTTTTCACGGATCACGACAAGTGCATTTGGCCTTTTTATCGTATTAAAAAAAAAAAGTTGAAGAAGATTTTACTTCTCAGGCAGTATCTGACAATAATTTTTTCATGAATAAAAATAAATGTTAAAAATAAATATTTCTGTTAACTTTAATAAATAAAAAAGTTATCAAAAGTGTCTAAAAAAGTAAAAAAAAATCACATGATACAAAACTATTAATCGGCAAATATAACAAAGTGTTTAAAAATGTTAATAATAATTGTTTTATTAACTTATTACCTCTGAAAAACAGCAAAAAATTGATTCAGCGCGTCATCGGGCTTTCTCTTACCCATCTTATACATTTAAGGAAGTGAGATAGAAGTAGGTACTTCTTTCTAAAAGTACACACGCGTAGGAAGAATATTGTTATAACGTAAAAAAACATAACAACAAACAAAATTTTGAAAATGTATTTAAGTTATTTTGTTTATTATAGTTTGAATATTCGGTGAAAATTTAAAATTAAAGCATTTTAAATTTTAAGGTATATTATTTAATTCAAGAAAATTAGAATTTTCGTCAATTTCGGATTTAAAAAAATTCATAACAATTAAAAGGTTAAAGATACGATGATGGACGTAGGGACTTTTTTTATTCGAAATATCCTAAAGAATATAAAAAAAAATAATTCATTGCAAAAAATGCATTTTTTCTGGCTTAATTAATTTTTCGTTGTTTAAACAATAACATCAACAAATATCAAGTGTCATCTTACACTTTTATAATTAGGAAAGCCTTCCGGACATTTAAAAAAAAATTACGAATTAAAACAATTTTGCAAACGAATGCGCCACTATGCCCTGCACTATATGAAGTTTCTGAAAATAGAAAAGTGGTGCAGTTCAGGATTTGTTTTTAATTGTTAGATAATAAACGATCCCTATTTGTGATTACAGTGATGGATTTACGCCTAGGCCAGTGAGGCCCGGGCCTAGGGCGGCATAATCTAAAGGGCGGCAAAATTTTTGAAATGCCAAAATTTTAGAGGCCAAAAAATAAAAACAATTAATTTCAAAAATTGGTTCAGATTAGTTTATATAATATATATAATATATTATAATTCAATTCATTAATTTATTTCTCAATCTGTATGGGTAAGATGTTAATTTTTTAATATACCAGTTATAGTTTTTATCGAGTAATGTTCTTTACTTCCTCTTCCTTTAGTGAGATTAATCTCACGTGTATGAAGCGTTTTGAAATTATTAAATCTGAATAACTTCTCAATTTTTTTTTTTTTAGTGTGAAATAAAATACTGTAGATTTGCATGTATTGAATATCATTTTGATATTCATTCAAAAATGTCAGAACATTTTTTGATTATAAAAATAATTTTTCATGAAAAATAAATCTCGTCTTTTTTCATATTCAATTTTTTGAATCATCAAAATAATTGGTAAAAAACTTGAAATTTTTATTTAAAATAAAAAAAAATCACTTTATATTTTTCATATTTGCAAAAATCTTCAATTACATCTTCAAATTTCAATAATTTGACATTTTATTCTGTTTCTTAACACTAAAAAAACAATTGATTGATAACTTTAAATTAGGTACTGGTTTTTTTTATAATTTGTAGTTATTATTTTATTTTTGAATTAAACATGAGCGGCTATCGAAAAAAATTTAGCGGTGCAGAATATCGTAAAAGAAAAGCAGAAGAATCTAGGAAAATAGATAGTTTACTTAAAAAAAATCCAAAAATATCTAGTTTTATGACAAGCTTAAGTAAGTCTTCTAATAATGACCAAAAACCATCACGTTCATCGGTCGTAAGTATCTTGTTGATTGCTAATAACTTTTTTGTTATATATACTGTTAGTCGGGATGAACATTAAATAAATGCCAGTTGTTTAAATTTATTTTTTTTTCTAGCCGGAATTAGAAGAGATTTCAGAACAAGATATCGAAGAAGTACAGTCACACTCTTCTCTATCACAAGATACGAACAAGACGCGTTAAATTTTCCTTTATCACAAGATACTGAAGAAATCCAATCAACAACTGATATTATAAAATTTAATACTGATCCTTTTTTATGGAATTTGAATGAAGAAACATGAAATTTCATAACTATAAACGGTACCTCACGAAATGATAATACGGACTTTAAAAATTCCAGAAATGTTTATAGTGATAAAATGAGGTATTGTTCCAAAAGTTTATTTCAACGTACTTTAAAAAACGGAGAGCTTCAACGCCGTGAGTGGTTAATTTATTCAGAAACTAAAGGGTCTGTATTTTGTGTTCCATGCTTATTATTTGGTAGAAGTGGTGAAATGCATGCTTTTACTGGTGAAGGATTTCATGACTAGAAAAACTCAAAAGCACACATCGAAGCTCATGAAAATTCTAATTTTCACAAAATTAACGTTAATCATTTTAAAGCTCGAGCAGTAGTACTCATACGGGCGTGTTGATCAACCTCTAATAAAACAGCTAGACGAGGAAATAGCGTATTGGAAAAAAAAATGTATACCGTTTAATTGCAATTATTAAATCACTAGCAATAAGAGGTTTTCCATTTCAAGGAAATTCAGAACGAATAGGAGATCCCCATAATGGGAATTTTTTAGGAACAGTAGAGCTTCTTGCTGAATTTGATCCATTTTTATCTGAACATTTAAAATTGTATTATATTGTTGTTTCAGAATAAAGCACTACAACATATTTCCAGTGAAGTGCAATATGCTAAGTATTTTGGTATAATTGTAGATTCTATGCCTGATATTGCACATGTCTATTAGCTTTCTTTAACAGTGATAACAGTGAAATTGTTGAAAGGTTTCTAGAATTTCTACCAAATATCGGCCATAAAGCTATAGATATTGAGGATGCACTGTTAAAATCTCTAGAAAATAATGATTTGGACATAATGAACTCTCATAGTTTAATCTTATGATAATTATTCCTTTAGCAGAATATCAAGCTGATTTATCATCCATTGTTCAGATCTATAGTTCTCTGGCTCTATTTCTTCAAGACATGAGAGACAAAAAATTTTCTGAACACGAAGAAAAAGCCACAGCATCATTTGGAGTTCACGATTATTATCATTATGGTACTCATCGCAAAAAAATCAGAATTCAGCCAGATGAGTCACGGGTAAATGAAAGAACACCTTTTTCTGGACAAGCAAATTTTCGTACACATATTTATTACTCTCTTCTAGAAACTTTGAGTGTACAATTGGCCGGGCGTCAAAGTGTACATGAAAAGCTTTACGAAAATTTTAATTTTTTTGATGATTTATTTGAAATAGATACAAACGAATTCAAAAATCTTGCTAATAAACTAGTCAGTAAGTATCCTGACGATTTGGAAGAGACGTTAGGCAATGACATTATTCATTTACATTGTCAACTCAAAAATTCTTTAGCAAATACGGAAAATGTGCGCTCTGCACAAAAAAATATGCAATGTATTGCATTCACGGAGTCTTCGAGATGTTTATCCGAATGTGGACATTGCTCTTCGTATTTTTTTGAATATTTCGGCTACAAATTGTTCAGGAGAAAGATCTTTTTCCACTCTAAAATGGGTAAAAACCTATTTACGCGTAAGCATGGGTCAAGCTAGACCGAATTCTCTTGCATTACTATCTATTGAAGCTCAACTAGTCCAAGAAATTAATAATGACGATATAATCGACATTTTTGCGTGGACCAAAGCCAGGAAAAAGAAATTTTCAAATTGAATAATATTAAAAAAATATTTATTATTTACCTATCTATCTAAAGTTTATAACTTATTTATCTGTCATGTTTATTAGTTATATTTAAGAAATTATATTTCAATAAATAAAGTTATTTTAAAATAAAAATATTGTATCAAAATTAATGAAATTCATTTTATCAAAAAGGGCGGCGCATCGAACGGGGCCTAGGGCGACAGCAAACCTAAATCCGTCACTGATCACTTACAAATAGAATAAACTCTGATCATTGCTGGCAGGGTTGCCAGACTTCCCGCCATAGGAGGGACAGTCCCACTTTTTGCTAATCTGTCCCGCCTTTTTTAAATAATTCCAAGTCCCGCTTTTCACGTAAATTGTCCCGGTTTTCCCGCCTTTTCCACTCTCTCGCAGAAGTCGCAGAAAATGCCTCACTTTTCCGGCCTCTCAAGCATTGTAGGTCAAACATTTAGTGCTGGCTCTCTTGTGTCAAGGGGTATTGGAAGATGTTCTCTATGGCCACTACCATAGGGTATATATAATTATGTTTTCTTATGTGTTGTTCTGGAACGTTTATTTATACAGGGTATTACTTAATGATAGGTTGTGATTCCAAGGGCGCATTGCTGAACCAATTTCAAGTATAAACGTTATATAAAAATTTTCAAGTTACTGGTGTCAAAGTTTAAAAGGAATAGGTTCTTTATTAATATCTCAAAGATCCATTTTTCTATTTTCTTGAAATTTGGCAGTGTTCTTCATTGTGATACGACGCTAAGTTTACACTAACTAGAAGATAATTATGATTTTCAGTGGCGTCGCGATGAGGAGCAGTCTTATACATAATATTTACAAAAAAAAACGTACGCCACTGACTTTTTAACTTGTATATATTTCTTTTTCGATTAAGCAGCTAAAAATACAATTTTTATTAAAATTAAATTATTATTATTTTATTAAAGTTAACTTTGATCGTTAAACTTTTCTACTTGGTTCAAGCATATGCGTCCTTGGAATTACGGTCTATCATTAAGTAACACCCTGTATATATAGGGTATAAATAATTGTCTTCTGTTGTTTTATTGTAGTGTTCATTTTGTTATTCTAATAGAGAATATTTTGTTTTTGTCCTCATTTTTAAGTTTTTGTTGAATTCCTAACAAAATTAGGCGTGGCTCTAAAAAATTTGTGGCCCTTTTGCTGAAACGACAGTGTCCCGCTTTTTCATTACAAAGATCTGGCAACCCTGATTGCTGGTGATTTTGAAAATCCAGAGTTATGCTTTTCAGTTAACAAGGATGGTGTAACCGAATTAAAAGATTTGAAATCAAATCATGAATATCAGATACTCGACAAAAAAAAGTTTTGGTGAAGTCTGTAGATACTAACGTTCTCATATTACCCATTTACTAATATAAATTTATCAATATCTTCGGAAAAAAAGCACCTTTCTATGGAATTAGAACAAGGAAATAAAAAACAGATTATTTCGGTATCTAAAATAGTGCAGAAACTGAGAAATGAGGTTTGTGAGTATCTGCCGGCATTGCATGTGTTAACAGGATGTGATACCACAAATGAAATGTTTAAGATCGGCAAAAAACCGCATATGATGGAGTTTCTAAAAACCTAGGAACCTCTAAAGAACTATCAAAACCGAAGCTAGTTAATATTGTTACAAAACTTGCACTGGCCCTATTCAAAAATAAGAACGGATATATTCAAACCTCCAATAAGTTCGCTTCAGAATTTCCCCAACAGATGACGCATTTCACCAGCATGTACTAAGCGATAACCAAATTTTTAAGTGCATATACCTATTATGTCTTTACTTGACCCTGTTAACTTTGGTTGGACTAGGAATAATCAAATTCTAGAGCCAAACTGGATGACTGCTAATTCCATACCAGCAGGTATAAGACAACTAATGAACATCTTTTGCAAAGATAAATTATGTCACGATAATAAATGTGTATGCTTAAAATGCTGCCGCGATGGTTCCTGCAAAAATTGTCAGAACAATGTTTCTGATTTATATTTATACGATGATGACGAAGAGGAAAACATTTAAAGTAAGTGTCATACATAACGCTTACTTACTCTATATTTATAGATTTTTATGTTATTTCTAGTTGTAACCAAAGCTAACGCAGATAATTTTCAGACTGGTTAATGTTAAGAGAAATATAGTTCTTCTAATTCGAACTCAGTCACGTTTAAGAGCCATTTACAAAGTATGGTCCTGTTAAAAAAAAGGTGTACCAGATTGTTTTCTACAAGATGGTATAGGTTTCATTTGGTTATAATTCTGAATCACTAAAAATCATAATTTCATTGCGAGTTTACTCCACTAATTTTATTAGAATTCGGAATTTGCAGTTGTCGATGCAAGATTTAAGATGTTTTCAGGGTTGGTTATAATTACGCCATTTCTTAGATTCGTACTGTATGATATACCTAATCGTCGTACAATGAACATTTTCGTAACTTTGTCTTTGATTGAGAAGTGAAGCGTTGTAATAAACAATAATATACAAAAATGAGTGTTTTAAATTGTAGTTTAAATAGGAGTAAAATAAAATTTCCTATAATGGGGAACCCAACCGATTTGAACCCTTGTATATTGCCGACAATTGAACAAATGCTTACGATGTTATTAGTCATACGCTATGAACTAAAATATTAAAAATGTAGTGGAAAAGAACCAAGTTCTTTAAAAGTTTGCAATGAACTTGTTCCTAAAATTGAAATCATTTGGACAGAGGCATCAATTCCAACTGTTTCAAAAGACAGAATTGTGCAATTAAAACGAAAGTATTATGAAAAATATAAGAATTTAATAAGATATCTCAGAAGCAAGCGAAACAACAGCTATGACGGAAACGTAAATACATTTAAAATAGAGTGTCATAAAAAGTTACTTGACATAGCTGCTTGTAAATACGATTTTTCTGCATGCATGTGTGAAAAGATTTAAAAAGCACCTACTAAAGAACAAAATTTTCACACACCATCATCGAGACGGTAACGGATGGCGATTTTATAATCTACATGATTTCTTTTGAATAATTTATTTGTGGTAAATTATTTAAGGCAATTAAATTTTGTGCTAAATAACACTACAATCAAAATGACAAATTAATTTAAATCAAATGAATAAAAACACAATTAATTTTTTACCTGTTCTATGCCAATCCCAATTTGGATAAGGGACTAAGTTTGGAGATGATTCTCTTGGTATTCTTGGTATAACGGCCAAAGTTGCTGGTACACCTGGCTTCCACTTTGGCATGGAAACAAATATTCTATGTTTGAAAACCTCTACACCTAAAAAAAAATTATTCCTTTGAAAACTAATCACTAATTACAAATTATTTTAGAATAAATGGCAGAAAAATTATATGAGAAGATTGCAATAAATTACCATTCAATGTTTTTTTTTGAAATATGGACCTATACCTGAATGATTTAAATTCCACTTATACTGAAACTCTAGGCTTATCCTACCCTTCTCGGCTTCTACCTCTTCAGGTTAATATACTTGTTGAATTCAAGAATATGTCTGATAGACGCTTTCACGAATTTTTTTGGGCTCCGGAATGCCATTCCCGTTCTTATTTAAGGTTTCAGCAGTGGTAAAGTTAGTGAATAAGAGTATTATTCTTATCTTGACATTTTCTATATCTATCCATTAGATATTTAGGTGTCTTCTAAGGCAACAGTGTCCCTTAAAGAGTTTTTTACGATATTTAGATTTTTACTGCTAACGCTTAGCAGCATGTTGTCTGCTGTTGGATAGATAATAATAATAGTAATAAAGGTCTTCATTTTCATATTTTACAGATCAATTTCAATCTAAGTTTGTATTGTGAATTACATTAAATGAATATCTACAGGGTGATTCATAACTATTGGGACATAGGCTAAGGACAGGTTATTTGGACCAAAATATGGCGATTGGACCAAATATACCTTTATAAAATATGGCTGTGGAATAAGATACAGGGCGTTAAAGTTGAATTTTTTTTTCGTTTTTTTTCTGATAATGTCACTGTTTATTAATGAATTGTTATCAAAATCGGCACAAAGGCATATCTTTGAAAAAGGAATATAATTTTATGTAATATTTAACATTTTGTTACAGGGGGCGCCACGTGAATGATTCCTGATGATGAAATTAGGTGGTAACTTTTTTTGGCGAAACTTTTTAGTGCTTTTGATTAGAAAATATTACTTAAAAATTATTTCTACGTAATATTGGTACTCTTGTTTAAACACGATAATTTCACCTGTTTTCGAGAAAAACGTAATTGAACAGTTCAGTATCTCAGAAGGGGATTCCAAATAACACAATAAGAAAACTTGTAACGTAAGGCTTCTATTTCAACGGTAAAGCAAAATTAAAAACAATTTAACATAAAAAAAGCAAACCTAAATTAAATGTTCAATGTGACCGACTTCTATGCCTTTTCTAATTCTTTTAATAAAGGACTTTCGGAAGGCAAAGAAAATATTATTCTGTCCCCTTATAAAATTACCCGCATTTTGTATGTTCCTCCAGAGTTCGTCTCGTGAATTAATTTCCTGGGTATAAACTAAGGACTTCATATGTCCCCATACATAAAAATCAAGAGGGTTATAGTCAGGACTTCTTGGTGGCCATTCAAAATTACTTCCTCTGCCAATCCAACGTTGAGGAAATATGTCACTTAGATAATTTCTAACAACTAATGGGAAATGAGGTGGAGCTCCATCCTGCATAAACCACATTTTCCTTCTTACATCTAGTGGCATATCATCCAAAATTAATCTAAAATTATTTTGCAAAAAAATAAATAGGAATCTCCATTTAAATTTGGAGGAAGACGATATGGCCCTAGTAGTTGGTCGCCTATAATGCCACACCAAATATTAAATTTAAACGCATGTTGAAAATGTCTTTCTTTACGAGCATGCGGGTTTTCTTCTTCCCAGTGATGACTGTTTCGATAATTAAAAACACCTCGTCTAGTAAAAGTCGCTTCATCGGTAAACATAATATTTTTAATAAAATTTCGGTCATCATTATGTTTGTTGAGAATACGTTGGCAGAACTGTAACCGTCTTGGGAGATCTCTTGGAAGCAAATTTTGAACAGGAGTGAAGTGATAAGGATGAAACTTTTCTTTTTTTAAAACTCTTATAATAGACGACTGACTTACTCCTGTTGTTATTGCCAGTTGACGTGAACTTACTTCAGGATTTTCATCTACTCGAACCAAAATTTTATCTTCTTCATTAGGTGTGATTTGTTTCGGACGACCACCCATATTTTTACTATGAAATTATCCGGTTTCACCCAAACGATGAAATAGATTTGCAAAAGTTTTGTGATTTGGTTGTCTCCAGTCTGGATATAACAATTCATACCTTCTGGCTGCCATGCGACCGCAAAAATTTTCTTGTGCATGTACACAAACCATATCCCGCATTTCTTCATTTGTAAAATGATTGTGACGAGGCATTTCAGTCGACAAAACTTAAAAAAATGCAACAATAGACTATAATCTCACAGCAAAAATAATTCATTGGCAAGAACTGACATTTACCAGACACAATTATCTGACAGTCCAAAGCACACTTTTCAAAAATAAAATATTTTTTGAAATATCCTTCTGGGACTCTGAACTGTTCAATTGCGTTTTTCTCGAAAACAGGTGGAATTATCGTGTTTAAACAGGAGTACCAATATTTCGCAGAAATAATGTTTACGTAATATTTTCTAATAAAAAACACTAAAAAGTTTTGGCAAAAAAACTGGCAAAAGAGATGGAAAAGAAGATAAAAGAACTGGAAAATTCAGAACCGTCCAAGAACGGTAACATAAAGTGCCATGAGGTATAGTCGAAGTTAAAATTGGAAGGAGATATAAATTCTGCTCGTGTTAAAGCTCCAACCTTCGACGGAAAAATGTCATGGACCAACTACCTTAAACAGTTTGAGACAGCTGCGAGGGCAAACGAATGGTCTGAGAGAGAAAAGGCAGTAAATCTGACAATCGCCCTTCGAGGAGACGCTTTAGGTGTTCTTCAGATTATACCTGTGGAAGAGACTGATGATTTTGAACAACTTAAAAAGAGATTGAACATGCAATATAGCCACGAACACTTGGAGCAGGTGTACAGATTACAGTTGAAGAATCGCAAATAGAAACGTGACGAGAGCCTTCACGAATTCGAATTAGATATTACGAAATGGTGCGATTTGCCTACCCATTAGCTCCGGAATAAATGATTGAATGTTTGGCCGTTCAAGCATTTGAAGATGGACTTCGTGACCATGAAATGCAAAGAACACTTTTTTTAGCCCGTCACAAAACATTGGTCGATGTCTTGTCCGCTGCTCTTGATTATAAAGCGGCTACGCTGGCTTCTGGTGGATACAGGTCTGTACAAGAAGAAGAACAGGGAAATAAATTGGACCAATTGTTTTACATGATAAAAGCCTTATTGAGAAGCAACCGAAGGCTATTAGGTGCTAGAATTGCGGTGAAATAGAAAAATCATACCGGTTGCTGTACAGGAAGAAACGGTGTTACATGAAAGAAGTGATACCATAAGAGTAAGACGGTTGCAAGGAACTGTAGAGAAGGCAACGCCTGTCATGGCGGAACCTTCGAAGCGCAATGAAGGTATTGGTCAAGGAACTCTGATTGGAAAGGAGTTGGCCATATCTGTTAAAGAAGTTACAGTACTAAAAACGTCGGTTGTCAACGATGAATGGGCCCCTGTCAAACTTAGAGAAGAACAAGAGAACGATTCCGTTTTAAAGAAGATAAGAGAATGGAAAGAGGAAAATCGTCGACCTACTTGGCAAGAAGTATCGAAACTCTTTCCAGTAGTTAAATCATATTGTTCTCAGTGGGACACCTTTATCCTAGAAGAAGGCTTATTAAAGCGAGTACTTGAAAATGATGATGATTCCGAGAAAAAAGACAGTTGGTCATTTCAAGGAGTAGGGTATCCGAAGTACTTAGTCAGTTACACGACAGTCCATCAGGAGGACATCTTGGTGTTAAGAAAACCTTTCAGAGAGTTAGTGAAAAGTTTTATTGGATGAGTAGTTCCGATGATGTAGAGGACTGTGAAATGTACCAGCTGTGCTATGAGTAATGGACCTCAGCGAAAAAGGAAGGCTCCCATGAAGCAGTACAACGTTGGTAGCCCATTCGAGAGGATCGCCCTAGATATTGCTGGACCATTCGCCCAGTGTCCAGGTTATAGTGAAGACAGTCCCTTGTTACTTCCACGCAACTGGAAATTGTAAAAGGGAATCCAGTTGCAGATACAATCATTCAGTTTTAGTTTTAGGAAGAACTAATGTCGCGCGAAAGCCTACCCTGTCTATTGTTTACTCCCGGTGTATAGAGTCTAGCGGCGCGCTGGCAATACAGAGACAATCAGACGCTACTCGAATATACCAGAACAAGCGGTATGTACGTGACGTTGAGTCATAGAGATGGAAGTCTTGGACATTCCACACCGTCTAGAGTATTCTGGTTACAGAGTTGGCTTGATATAAATATCGCGAGTACGAAGACGAAAAAGTCAGTTTTATATAGTTTAGTTTAATATAGAGTATTGGAATGAAAAGTTAAAGTGTAATAAATAAATTAAAATTGTTAGATAGTGTCTAAGTATTATATAAATTAAATAGTGCGTCATAAATAAATTGTAAATAGTGTGTTTTAAATTAATAAATTATAAATAAATTAGGCTATCGTTACAATACGTCTACAAGACGTATTAGCTGTTTTTCATCTTAAGCTAGCAAAAGAAAAAATATAGAGAATGGAACAGGTAGTTACTTTAAACTAACAATAATTGTTTCTATATTTAATTAGATAAGCGTTTAATTACAATGTGAAATCACCATTGATTGAAGTAAATTAAATGGATATAAATAAGTAATTATTTTAAATTGTAGAAATAAGAAAGAAAATTAAATAAAATGAAATACATATATGTTTTAATTTTTATTTGTAGGGACACTTTTAATTAATACTTAGATAACAGATATTTTTTAAGGTTCTTTTTAAATGTAAATACAGGCACATTTTTGAATTTATTTGGTAAGTTGTTATAAACTTTGACTGATAGCTAAATGATCTTTTAAACATGTATTGTTGATCTAGAGCGTATTTTATTATATAAGTAACTTGGACATTTATTTTGTAAGATTTTATGATAAAGGGAGCTATTTAGAAGATACGTCGGTCACACATATTTAACCATCCGGCATCTTTCAATTTATGAGAGATTCTTTGTAAATATTAAGCGAAGACAAGA